TCAGCGACCCAACCGCCTCGAACGCGACATTTTCAAACCCGAAAAATCCCTGGCCACAATAAATTCTCTAACCAACGGCCACCTGCCGTGGATTCACTCATCCTTTCTTAAGCACATACGCATACATCATCTCGCCTCATCCATCAATAACCCAGGTCTCATGTGTCTGCACCGCAGATCTCCATAACCAGTTCTCTAACCGCAGATCTCCATAACCAGTTCCCTAACCGCACTTGAACGGATCGCTGACCCTCTCAAAAGAATACCTAATTCCCCCCCCCCCCCACTCAGGGTTCGAACCATCACCAATTGGCATACCAACAATCTACTCCATAAACTCTTTCACCAGGTACATCATACTTGACTCTTTGGAATCGTATCACGTAACACTCGATGATCTTCTCGATAAGACCAAGCAACTCCAAATATCCCAAATCTCATATGAAGTCCTCGAAATCCTCCCAACGTGACTGCTTCTAGTCATCTCGAAGCCTCAGACCGACACACCGCCGGATACCCCAACTGTTCTGAATTAGTCCTGACTCTCAATCTGGAAATAATTCACTATCACGCACCTCGTCTCTGATCCCTCATTCAACATTCCAGCATGTAGATCATCATAGAAACTATAGACTTCACTCTCACAGTCGATACTCAATGCAAGCAACGAGGGACACTGCCCCGGTATACTTCTCTTAATCTCCTAGAACTGCTGCTAAAAAGCATGCCTCACTCATAAAGGCACCTTCCTTGGTCTCTCCCATCTCAGTCCCCACTAATGACTTGTTCATGGTATAAACAAATACCTCACAGCACACATACTGGCCAAATACTCTGGTGAAAAGGTCACCACCATATGCTACCCCACAGGGTTTACCTCCAACTCTGAAACCGGAAGCTTGTTATCTCTTTTGCTTCTCCCAGGAAACGGGGACAGTGCAACTCTTGTCACAGAAGGTTACGTTTCATCTATCGGTCAACTCAGACCGCGATCCTTCATAAGCATCAGCTCTACTCATCCCTGAGTCTTGCGACTCCAACTGGCATCTCACCCATAAAATCTCTCGAAAACTAACTCGATTTCCCTCCCAAGGTATGCTCTATTGAAACTCGTTCGACATGGCCCTCTGGCCCCATACTCTATCATATATGTTCTCAGTCTAATTAATCACAACGGGATAACTGGTAAACTCTGAAGCACTAACCGCCAAGAATCAAGGTACTCGAACCATGTTATCACATTTCAATCTGCTACGAGTCATGGTACTCGAACCATGTTTTCACCTCTCAATATGCTATTTAGAACCTCTCAATATGCTACTTAGAACCTCTGGAATTCTCCCTGTTTCGAGTACGGGTCCTCTGCTTTCAGTAGTACGGGCTCATACTACCTGCCACATCTACCCATACTTTCCACATGGATCGTCCCAAATTTCCTAAGTAGTTGCTCAATCTTCTCGATCACCAATACCGATATACCTGGTCGCTACCCAGCGAATACTCTCCTCTATCAGCGTACTCTTCTGACTAAAGTCACTCCCTAGGCTCTTCCTAGGTTCTCACACTTCTCTACCATCAGCTGCTGAAGAACTCCTTATGATGCCATCCATCTACCTCCTGAATATCGTCATATTCACTTAGTAGTTGACTCCCATCATGAAGAGTTCCACAAAGCACAAAGCAAGCAGCATTCGAGCATCGAATAATCTCCACCAACACTTAAAAACCACTCTAGGTTACAACTCCACGTGCTCTACTCACACTTAAAAGGTACTACCGAACTCAAGCAACCCTACATCTCGCGGGTATCTAACTACTCCCTCAGTAGGCTCCTCCAATGCTCATCTAGGTATCTCTCCTAGATTACCCCTCTACTCAAAGTTCTCTCTAAAATATTCCTGCTAGATACTCTTACTCCGCACATACTCAAAGCACATCACAGATAGCAACAATTCCTAGGCTAAGGCATCACAGATCAGGCAACTCTAGCCCTAAAATATGAAATACCTAGCCTATCTTCTAGCATGCATCACTAATATCTTAATAATAACTCATAACACAAATAAGTAAGGGTATTTTGGGAAATCACCGTTCGGGCTCTGGCTGATTGTACATACTGCTCCTTCTCATTTTTCTCTTAGAAACTCTTGCTCGTTTTAGAAAAATCATTTCCTTTGAAAAATTTTCTCAAATCCTCAGTTTGAGTCCATACATACCCGAAGGTGCATCCAAATCCCTCAAACCAAGGCTCTGATACCAACTTGTAACACCGAAGATTTTCAAACAAAATTTTCATTTTAAAATCACATAATTCTCATAACACATTTCACAAAAATCCTAATTATTTAATTTACAAAAGGCAACTCCATGATTGTTTGATTAATAATCCAGGATCCTCAAAGCATAACTCTTTCTCTTGTATGTACAATCAAGCCGGCGCCTTCCCACGATCCTGAGAAGAACCTGAGACACATATCACATAACAAGGTAAGCACGAAGCTTAGTGAGTTCCCCAAAATACCACACATATATCATTAGCCTCTCATGGCTATACTCAGATAATACCATCCGTACAATGTGTCTCAGTGGGACCCTCCGGTCCCACAACTCGGGTGGACCCTTCGGTCCTAACTTAGTAAACTCGGAATAATACACAACATAAATCACAAAGACATAATACAGGACATCACAATACCTAATACAAGCACATAAGACCCTCTCGTAACACATAGATTACCACTCAAGGTAAGTATAGTGAGAAGACTCACCTCGGATGATGAACAACTCTTATAGATGCTGCTGCTGCACCGGCCTCTAACACTGGACCAAAATCCACAATTACCCAATTAAGATCTAAGTCCAAATCCTATCTCTTTAGGTCTATAGGTAGTCCACTAACTAGCCCTTCAATGACCTAAAACTCATTAGGCCCACCAAAACCCAATAATAAATGGGCTCTCCCGAGGCCCAACTCTCAAGTCCAAGTGACAAGCCCAACACAGGGCCAAATGCACATATATAATATTTCTCTGTTCAAAATCTCTAGTACACAAGCCCAACCCTTAAGGCCCAATATAATATTTATCCCAAAAAGGCCACAACGAGGTTATGCAGGGCGTACCTCCCTTGGTACGCTCAGCGTACACACGCATGTAGGAAATCTAATCGGGGACATCAACCCAGTACGCAGGGCATACTAGGATTACGCTCGACGTACGTCCAGTATGGCTTTTCTCACTTTCTTGGTCTTAACCCGTTAAGACCTTAGCTCATATCACAGATCTGGACTCCCTAGAGGCTCTTACTCCATAAAGTCTATGACTTTAAGCCTTTGCATGGGTGGTAAAGTCACAAACACCCAAAACTCTCATTTTCTCATCTCAAAATGCACATGTCTCATACATGGGTTGATTCAAACGTCCAAGTCTCGATTTTTATGACTCTACACCACTTAAGATACTTAAAGTAGCTGATAATAAACTCAGGAGCTCAATATCTCATAAAGTCTCCAACTTTGGGACTAAAACCCTAAAATGCACTAAAATGATGCACAAATCAAAAGAGTGAGAAAGCTTTGAGCTTAATACCTCAAAATGAAGTTTCCAACTCAGATAAGCTTAGATCAAAAGCCTGGAATCCCACTCCTTCTTCTTCAAGGCTCCTTCTTCACTCCAAAGAAACACAAGATCACTCAATAGCTCACAAATGGACACACAAGCTCAATGGACGAGTATTTAGGGTTTGAGAGGGTTGATTGTCGGAGGATGGTGGCCAGGAATGAGGCCATCTTATTCTTTATATAAGGACACCCCCTCATTTAGGGTTTTAACTCTATGCCTAGTACGCCCAACGTACCCTCTGGTACGCCCAGCGTACTAGGTGGCTCCGCTTAAAAGTCACGCACATGAGTACGCTAAGCGTACACACACGTACGCCCAACATACTCAGCTGCCACCTATCTCAATTAGAGGACCTATCTTGCCAAAACTTCAAACTTCCATAGTTTCCTAGATATAACTTCGTTTCCAGTGAACCTCATATCCACAGAAGGGTGACGAGATGCCCTACGCTTCTAGCAACTCGTCGCAGCCTCGAGGCTTCCTCATGCCCGAGTTGCAGCCCACGAACCGTAATCACGGACGATCCGAAACAGGATGTTACAGTATGTTTCAAAGTAATGAACAAATGTATATGTATAAACTTTATGCATTTAACATATAAATATACATGAATGGTAATAACTTGAATCCTTGGAATACTACAAAGTTTTATTACGTACTTGTTGTAATATACAATGTCGTATAGAAATCATATATTTTTGTATCATGTAGCATTTGTTGTGTGAACTAGTTATTTCACGATAGAATAACCATAATACGTATACGAAAACTTTATACTACTTTATTTGTAACGATATATTACATTGTTAAATAATATTTTTATAAACTAGATTTATTTATTTTTGCATGAAATGGAAATTTGTTTGTATAAATGAAGTATATAGGCACATGTATTCCCCCCCCCCCCCCCCCCCCTCCCCCGGAAATCGAAAATATTAAAAAATATTAAAAAGGGACCGTAAGCACTCACCCTTGAAACATGAGTTCCAATCATTCGAATTCGGTTTCTTTGAGAAGCTTGACATGAGAAACCGTAAATCCACAATTCTTAGACTTTGAAATACTCTCGGGATCATTTCGTAACAAATTTGAACTATTGGGGACTGATTTGTAACTTTGCTAAAGTACAGGGGCTTTTTGGTAATTTAATTATATAGTTAGGACTATTTTGGTAAAAAAAAATACCAAATGAAAGGTTGTTTGTAGATAAATGAAATCAATAATTGGGGTTGGGATTGATTTTGAATAAAGAGTTTAAAAGTGGGGCATTTTAGTCATTTCATAATTAAAATGACTTGGGGCTTTTAAGACCCCGTGTTTCATTCAATCGGTCAAGGAATGTCGAATGGAAGCAGACACGAACAAAGGAGAGGTGGCCGGATGGTGATTCAACAATTCGATAGGGTGGGTGTCGACAGAGGCCGTCGTCGGCGTCTTCTTCCTACTTTTGGTCCGATCGACGGCAAACCCAATTGGGGAAGGGGAGGGTGGTTCTGTGGTGGTGTTGGATCGAAGCAGCAAAATGGAAGAATCGACGGGACAGTGACGCATCGGAGGAGCGTCGCCGACGCTCAGATTGGGCGGATGAAGGAGAAGGAAACGAAAGCAATAGGGTGGCTCGGTGTGGCTATTGTCTACAGCAGTTTTGGCGAGGGTGATTGAGCAACCGCAAGTGAAGGAAGGCAGGTGCGGCTGCTAATCGGGGGTGGAGGGGATAGCCGATCTCTGGTGACTCCCTGGTTCGTGCGTCTTGTAACCGACCGAAGTCAACCGAGGAATGAGCACCTCCGGAGCTGGGTTGGACCAAAGGAAAGACAAGGAACGTAGCAGTGAAACGGTTCTTCTTCTACTCCAGCCCTGAGGTGCGAAGGGGAAGGAGGCCAGGAGAAAGGTTCGGTGGAGTTTGCTCGATTGGAGAAGTGCGAGGCTTCGATGATCGTAGCAGTCCCGTGTTTCTTCCGGTTCTTCTTTTCTCCTTTTTTTTTTTTAATTTTTTTTTTTGATTTTAACAGAAGTTGATGGAGAGGAAAAAAAGAACAACGAAAATTCCTTTTTCCTTGTTTGCTTTGATAGAAACCGATGAATGAGTGGATATTTGGGTGTTGATTTTTTACAGTGAATCGAATGGGTGTTTGTTTCTTGATCAGCCATATCTCACAGAAAAGATTTTTTTATTGTATATATCAAATTTTAGCATGCAGTGTTGATTTTCTTTGCTTGAATGTTCAGGAGGTATGGAAGGACCAACAGGAGAAGGAGAAGTCTTTGAGAGTGATTTTGGTCGAGGTGAAACTTGGAAGTAATCTATAATTTAGCTGTTATATTTTATTTTGTAATTAATTTGATTTTTGATAAAGTTTATGTATTATGTAGGGATGAGCAAAGGAACTGACGTGGTTAGAACCGGCCCGAACCGGACCCGATCCGGGAACCGAAGTCGGCAGAAATTAAGAACCGAACCGGAGCGCCGGTTCTAACGGTTCCCGGTTCCTACCGGTTCTTGCCATGTCTTAAATGTTGGAACCGATCTTCGAGAAATAACACGGTTCTAAAAATCCATAAGAATATCGTCCCGGTCCCGGCCCGATCGGTTCTATCCGGTTCCGGTATCTGTTCCGGCCGGTTCCCCGATCCAAATGCTCATCTCTAATATTATGTGTATAATTTGTGTATTGATTTGTACATTTGATTCAATGGGTATGTATTTGGTTGAAGTTGGGTATTGCTATATATATATATATATATATATATATTTAGGACTTTATAAACAATTCCCTTTTATATATAAAGAATTTGAGATTTTATATAATAAATGTCTAAATTGCCATATATTTTAGAAATTGTTATTTGGGAAACGATATTTGACATATTTAAATATTTATATATTTCGTGTTGTTATATAATTTTTAATAATATAGCATATAGACATTGTGATTAGACGACTAATTTGGATCTTATATATACATATATAGTGGTCTTGTCATTATACAACTTATAAACATTTTTCACAATAATAACTACAATATAATTTGTATATTTATTTATTGTGATGTATACCTCGATTCTCGTGCATTTAACATAAAAATATACATAAATTGTAATAACTTGAATCCTTGGAATACTACAAAGTTTTATTACGTACTTGTTGTAATATACAATGCCCCATAGAAATCATATATTTTTGTATCATGTAGTATTTGTTGTGTGAACTAGTTATTTCACGATAGAATAACCATAATACGTATACGAAAACTTTATACTACTTTATTTGTAACGATATATTACATTGTTAAATAATATTTTTATAAACTAGATTTATTTATTTTGCATGAAATGGAAATTTGTTTGTATAAATGAAGTATATAGGCACATGTATTCCCCCCCCCCCCCCCCCCCCCCCCCCCCCCCCCCCCCGGAAATCGAAAATATTAAAAAATATTAAAAAGGGACCGTAAGCACTCACCCTTGAAACATGAGTTCCAATCATTCGAATTCGGTTTCTTTGAGAAGCTTGACATGAGAAACCGTAAATCCACAATTCTTAGACTTTGAAATACTCTCGGGATCATTTCGTAACAAATTTGAACTATTGGGGACTGATTTGTAACTTTGCTAAAGTACAGGGGCTTTTTGGTAATTTAATTATATAGTTAGGACTATTTTGGTAAAAAAAAATACCAAATGAAAGGTTGTTTGTAGATAAATGAAATCAATAATTGGGGTTGGGATTGATTTTGAATAAAGAGTTTAAAAGTGGGGCATTTTAGTCATTTCATAATTAAAATGACTTGGGGCTTTTAACACCCCGCTCCCGAGTTCAACTTAAGGAGAGAAAAGAAAGGAAATGGGCGGAAATGAGAGGAAAGTAAGAGACATTGATGCTCCCGAGTTTCATTAAAGGAAGGAAATGGAGGGATCACTTTCCCTTCTAACTTTCCTTCCGATTTGGGAGGATTTGAAAAGAAAGAATAAAATGTTTAACTTTCCTTCCATTTCTCTTCAACTCGGGAGCACAAAAGAGACAAATTTGTTTTCCTTTCTTTTCTCTTCTTTTCTCTCCTTACTTTCTTTTCTCTTCTCTTCTTTTCTTTGCTTCAACTCGGGAGCGGGGTGTAAGACCCCGTGTTTCATTCAATCGGTCAAGGAATGTCGAATGGAAGCAGACACGAACAAAAGAGAAGTGGCCGGATGGTGATTCAACAATTCGATAGGGTGGGTGTCGACAGAGGCCGTCATCGGCGTCTTCTTCCTACTTCTGGTCCGATCGACGGCAAACCAAATTGGGGAAGGGGAGGGTGGTTCTGTGGTGGTGTTGGATCGAAGCAGCAAAATGGAAGAATCGACGGGACAGTGACGCATCGGAGGAGCGTCGCCGACGCTCATATTGGGCGGATGAAGGAGAAGGAAACGAAAGCAATAGGGTGGCTCGGTGTGGCTATTGTCTACAGCAGTTTTAGCGAGGGTGATTGAGCAACCGCAAGTGAAGGAAGGCAGGTGCGGCTGCTAATTGGGGGTGGAGGGGATAACCGATCTCTGGTGACTCCCTGGTCGTGCGTCTTGTAACCGACCGAAGTCAAGCGAGGAATGAGCACCTCCGGAGCTGGGTTGGACCAAAGGAAAGACAAGGAACGTAGCAGTGAAACGGTTCTTCTTCTACTCCAACCCTGAGGTGCGAAGGGGAAGGAGGTCAGGAGAAAGCTTCGGTGGAGTTTGCTCGATTGGAGAAGTGCGAGGCTTCGATGATCGGAGCAGTCCCGTGTTTCTTCCGGTTCTTCTTTTCTCCTTTTTTTTTAATTTTTTTATTTGATTTTAACAGAAGTTGATGGAGAGGAAAAAAAGAACAGAGAAAATTCCTTTTTCCTTGTTTGCTTTGATAGAAACCGATGAATGCGTGGATATTTGGGTGTTGATGTTTTACAATGAATCGAATGGGTGTTTGTTTCTTGATCAGCCATATCTCACAAAAAAGATTTTTTTATTGTATATATCAATTTTAGCATGCAGTGTTGATTTTCTTTGCTTGAATGTTCAGGAGGTAGACTGGCTGCAATGGAAGGACCAACAAGAGAAGGAAAAGTCTTTGAGAGTGATTTTGGTCGAGGTGAAACTTGGAAGTAATCTATAATTTAGCTGTTATATTTTATTTTGTAATTGATTTGATTTTTGATAAAGTTTATGTATTATGTAGGGATGAGCAAAGGAACCGACCTGGTAAGAACCGGTCCGAACCGGACCCGATCCGGGAACCGGAGTCGGCAGAAATTAAGAACCGAACCGGACCGCCGGTTCTAACGGTTCCCGGTTCCTACCGGTTCTTGCCATGTCTTAAATGTTGGAACCGATCTTCGAGAAATAACACGGTTCTAAAAATCCATAAGAATATCATCCCGGTCCCGGCCCGATCGGTTCTATCCGGTTCTGGTACCTGTTCCGGCCGGTTCCCCGATCCAAATGCTCATCCCTAGTATTATGTGTATAATTTGTGTATTGATTTGTACATTTGATTCAATGGGTATGTATTTGGTTGAAGTTGGGTATTGCTATATATATATATATATATATATATATATATATATATATATATATATATATTTATTTATTTATTTATTTATTTAGGACTTTATAAACAATTCCCTTTTATATATAAGGAATTTGAGATTGTATATAATAAATGTCTAAATTGCCAAATATTTTAGAAATTGTTATTTGGGAAACGATATTTGACATATTTAAATATTTATATATTTCGTGTTGTTATATAATTTTTAATAATATAGCATATAGACATTGTGATTAGACGACTAATTTGGATCTTTTGAAGTTGCATACGACACCAAAAATATATATACATATATAGTGGTCTTGTCATTATACAACTTATAAACATTTTTCACAATAATAACTACAATATAATTTTTATATTTATTTATTGTGATATATACCTCGATTCTCGTGCCCTCTTATCGATTCATATAATTTTTCTAAAAGAGTCTGCTTAGTGTTCAGGTCGTGGTGATTCCAAAAATACAGACAGAATTGAATTTTGTTATACTGATCTCCGTGAAATGACGTTTAAAGTTTCGCGTTTAATTAAGATGAAAACATCTGATTTTTGACTTTTATAAATATTTTTATCCAAAATATTTCAAATATGAAATTAAATATTAGGCTATAGCCTGAGTCCAAAAAAGTTTTCGGAATTTCCATTTGAGGTGTGCAAGTCCCTCAACGGTTAGAAACGGTTTTAGTGATTTTAAGAAAATCAGTATTATACTGGTTTTGGATTCTTAAAACGGTCGTATCTTTTGCATACGAACTCCGTTTTGGACGTTCTTTATATTTTCGGAATCATGGAAACGTGTACTACAAGGCTAGAGTGTTTGTTTTTCTCACAATGACATGAAATTTCAGTTTTTCAGAAATATCCCTAGGGTTGTAGTTTAAGTTGTTATTTTTTTTTACCAAAATTACATATTTGGAAGTAAGATACCATCTGGTATCTTATAATAGTTGAAATGAATTTATTTATTTCACATAAGATGCACTAAAACTAAATGAGTCAAATTACCAAAAGATTTACTGTGAACTTGACCGTTCACAGTCTTTGACCTAAATTCTTAGATGTCACAACTTCGGGTTGCTAGAGGTTCACTTTTATGCATCAACAATCTCTCCCTAATTGAACTTAGCAATCAATGAACTCCTCAGCTGGCTTCATCAAACACAAAGAGATAGGAACTATGTAGCCATCTTCGGACTTCCAAATACCAATTGCGATTTTCGATGAATTTCTTCTTAATATGCTCAGGAGAATCACCTTTTGAAGCATTGGAAATGAACTTGTAAAGGATCTTTTTCGGAACAAGATGTTTGTCAAGAACTCTAAAGAAATCTTTTCGGTTAGTCTTCTATTTGATTTAGACATAGTCGAGTTCCGGTTCTTCAATGGGGCCTTCTGCCAAGATCTGTGCTTCAGGCAGTTCGAAAGTGATTTTTGCTTAAACGTTTTCGATTGAAGAGGTGAGCAAATTCAATGTTAGACCTGCATATCAAATTGTAATTCCGATTGCTTGAGTGACTTGATTTGGCGATCTCGAAAGTGAGCAACAATGATGAGAATGTCATTTGGGTTGATTGAAGGAAAGTCGGCATCCGTGATGGTGATGGTTGATTCTTTGTTCTAAGAGACATAATATATGTACATCATACAATTAAGATCAAACTTGCTTTGAACATTGTTATCGTATCCAATGATCTTGGTAATCCGCTTCCGAGACCAAACTTCCTTTTGAGGTCGTGTGTTGACAGAGTAGAAGGTTCTCAATATCTCACGCTCTATCCTGATGTTTATTTTAGGATGATCATTTGGATGAAGAGGAGCGTACTTGATGTAGAAGTGACCGTCAGGAGAGATTGGCAGATCAAGTTGATCGGCATCCTGTGTTGGAAGATCATAATACGTGAAGGGCACAAAGTTTATATCGTGAATAACTCCTTCTCAGAAAAGAGGAGATATGCCCAACATCGGATTTGGATTGTCTTTCAATGCTTGAATCCTGACGTTTTCTTCCAAAGCTTGATTGATTGGTTCTTGAGACCAGCCCTCAGACTTTTTCAATGTCTTCATCGGACGACTCAACTCGGAGCACAAATTCTAAGATAGGTTTCCATTAGATCTGTTTATCTCTTTGACTAGCTCCTTCTCCTCCTCTTGAATTGGAAGGCCCT